TTTTGATTGTTTTCTGATTTTTTAGGACTGCATGATTTGTTAAGGGATTTTTGACACTTTTTCAATGATTTCATTCGAGGTGCAGTCGGTTAGGCGACCCTGTTAGGCCGCGCCCCCGCAAAGTCCACCAAAATTCGTCCAAAACAAGTCTTTTTTTTTTTTTTGCAAGACCGCAAAATACCGCAATAAAAACCGACTACGGTATCTTGTAAACAAGATTTCGAACTTCAAGAATCAATAGTCGGTTGCCCGGGAGAAAATTGTAACTGAGCTGGGGCCGGGAAACCACACAGTTACACAGAGCTACCTCGCATTAGGTAACATTACCTGAGTTTACAAAGTCATCATGAGATTATCTGAAATTTTTGTATTTTTGCTGAGCCAGAGATATGTTGGAGACAGACTTGACTGACATTGCGTTAATGCTCGTTTGCACACAATTTCAGTATTCAGCAGCATCGATACGAGGGCTGAGAAAAAAGTGACAATAACTGATAAAGCAGGGAATCATAAATTCAGATGTACTCGGGTACTACATGTAGCTGATTCTCACTGACAACACACATTCAGTAACCGTCACCTACTATCGGCCCCCTACTCGATACTGACAACAACTGCACCTGCCCTTTACGGATTTGTCAGCTAAGAGTAGTGTCCACCTCAGCTAAAATCAGAGCTGAGAAATGCCGAATTTAGCTAAAACCCTTACCTCAGTAAAATGCGCGCCGAATCAAACTTCTGATCAGAAGTCTAATCTGGCGCACACACTAATGAGATAAGGTGATTCACTTAAGTTCAGCATTTCTCAGCTCTGATTTAAGCTGAGGTAGGGTAGACACTACACTTAGCTGACAATTCCGTAAAGGGCAGGTGCAGTTGTTGTCAGTATCGAGTAGGGGGCCGATAGTAGGTGACGGTTACTGAATGTGTGTTGTCAGTGAGAATAATGACTAATGCGTTTAGAAATCCGTGAACATTGCGCTACAAAGTTCACTAGTCGTTTTAGCCCTAATCGTTAAAAAAATTGTCATACTTTTGTCTGCTTTTTTTGGATTCTAGCCCTAGGGTTCTTAAGAGGTAAACCGTCAAATGGGCGTAAATTTCGTCCGTTTGGCTCTATCTTGAACCGTTTAGGTGCTAGGGGACATTTCTTGACAAAAATGTGGTAAAAATGATCAAATGGTCGGTTAAATCGTTAAAAAGACGTCTCGGGTGTCGGGTGCCAGGCGCGTCGCAGCGTAACAGTGTTTCGTGAGATATCGCGAAGCGTGTTACGCAAGACGTGGTCTGGCGTACATATTGCTAGTTGGCTGAGCGATTAGCGAAGCCCATTACTCCACTGACGGGAAAAGTTTCATTCTGTTTGTTTGTCTGTTTGTTTGCCCGTCTGTCCGCACGATAACTCGAGAAAGAATTGAGAGAATGTGCACATACGGAACGTACACGTAGGTACGCGGTCCGTACAAATGAATACGGTTTACGTGAGGCATACATACGAAGCGTATGTACCGGAACGCAACATCGTCTACATACGGATCGTATTTGGCGGATAGATCATACACTGACCACACGTGAACCTTAAACGTTACCGGTATGCACACATGGGGATCGTACATGGAACGTATACGGTTCGTACATGGGTCGGGTTCCACGTGCTTAAAGTTTAAAATTCGTTTTGTATATGAGTAAAGGCCTATTTGCCTTAATAGGGTGTTCCAGGCTATCTAGAACGGAAGTGAAAAAGAACAAACTCACCGATTAATCTGCATCCGTCCGCTCAGTATGAGAAATTGCCATGGTAGTTTGGTCCGATTCTAACCTCTCAAATATGGAGGGTAGCTCGAAACTGACTTGACGGTTTTTCATACCTGAAACGCCGTCGTGACACGTGATCAGCTCAACCGATCAGAGCCACCACGGAAACAGAAAGGTCAGTGAGTTTGTTCTTTTCCTACTTCCGTTTTGGATAGCCTGGAATACCCTATTCAGGAACCTTTTCTTTTCTCCCCACACACCCTACGCCAATCATGGGTCAGCTCTGGCCCAGGCAGTAACCCGAAGAAAAAAAACCACAAAAAAACACCTTTTTTGGGGGGCGAGGGCTTTAGAAACTTCTGTGATTGTTTCTTTCAAAAACTGAATCTTTCTGTAGGTTTAGAGTTGATACAATGTCACCTTACCGTGTACAGACCATATGTGATTTGTCCGTAGGTCTGAACAGATCCACTATGGAATTATATAATATGTCTAGTACGGTTGACTACAGAGGTCCCGGGTAATTAATTGACCTCACATTTTTCAAACCTTGATTCGTGGGAGTATTCTACATAGTGCAATGTTTGATTTGGTATTTTTGAAATGGAATTCGACTCAATTTTACTTTATTACAGATTAACAATTTCTGACAGTATCGTTTTGTGTCACGTCTCTGGCATTTGCTTTTTAAAGAAGCGATAAGCCATGTGGTGAAGAAAACTAAGTGCTGACGTCCATCTTAAATCTTTTACATCGTTTTACATCATTGAGGGCAGGGTGCCTTAAAATACGACTTCAATATTGGAGGTACTCTTTCGCGCGGGCCTCAACGGCAGGGTCGTGGGCTTCCGAGCTGAAACACTGGAGAGCTTGCGTCGCATCGTCTTTGTCAGCGCGGATTCTCACCAGGCACTCAGATAGATTCGTGGCAACGGCGTCAACTTCAGCTCCGCGGGCAAAGTTGGAGTATGCCAGGTTTGTGCAGATGCTATCGGGGTCAACGTTTCCGTCGATACAGTCCTGGAGGGCGAACTGGTGCCACACCGCATCCACCAGGGTGTAGTATTTATTACCCTCCTGCAAGAAAGAAACATGATAACAGCGCCTTCCTGCTTTTACACTCCCAGTACTGACCCCAAGTTGACTACTTGACATAGCGATTTATTGCCATCAAAGATCCTGTTAGGCAGAGTGGACCTTTTGAAGCTGCGCAAGGCAAATGAAGTCGTTTTTAGCTGCGGATGGTTTGTAACTGCGCAAGGTTTGCAGCTGCGCGGGTTCGTTACCATACGAGATTTGCCACGCACTGTACGGCGTTGGCAACTCCACAAGGTCTGCGACGACGTTGGAAACTGAATTAGGTTTGAGACTATGCGACGTTGGCAACTGCGCAAGGGTGCCAGTAAACAACTCACGCAATGCAACATGATGTACCGTGTAAGCGTCTAATACAGTACCAGCAGGGTAAGCATGCACACTTTTTTTTTCATTTTTACAGCAAATTACACAAAAATACAAAAATATAGATGTAAACTTATCCGAGGGACTCTGA